ATGTAACATTTGTGGGAGAGGAAATAAGATTGTATGTTGCATGGCCGTCAAACCTCATTTGCATAGATGATGAGGTATGTTGAAAACCATTATGAACTTTTGAGTATTCAAATTTTTTACGAACATTTAACGTACATTTTTTCATGGTAATGTTAGAATCCTACAAAATCCAAATCAAATGATAATGGGATTACGCGGCAAACTGAGTCAGTTGCATCCAAAAAAGAGATAAATTGATATATATTACATAGAAAAAGTTAATTCATGATCTTATACTTCACATAACTTATATGCATTTGATCTTTAGATTCATGTTAAAGAGATGCAACAAGTCAATATGAGTAAGAAGCCTGAAATTGACAACATGTATACACAAAAAAAGGATCTTGCAAAGTTCGCGGCTAGAAAAAAGCCTATTTCTAGGTATAGGCCGTGCCTTCAGACATTAATGGGAATATCAGATTTGGCTGACGTATGTGCTCGTAATATACCCATGGAGGAAGGTATTTTTGGTTTTTCCTATTACGAAACAATAAGTAAAGAGGATGTGGATCAAGTTCTTAGACATAAAGAATTAGGCCTCAATGTTATCAATACATACATCAGGTATACTCCGATTAACTTTATTTAATTAATTGAACAATTTATCTACTCATTCCAATGAATGGTTTTAATGTTAATGATGTTTTTATTTAAGTTTCATGTATGCCAACTTGAAGCGCCCGTATCAACTGGACTAAAGATTATGTTTCTTATCTCCAAACAATATCAACTCACTATTAATCGAACAAAGACTAGATGAAGTCAAAGAGTACTTTGTTCGGACATTTATGGCCAACAAAGATACATAATTTTTTTTTCATTTAATACTGGCAATGGGTAAGATTTTCATTCAAACTTCATCAATTATAATTTTCCGTGTTTTGATGTTATGTAGAAAGTTTCCATCTAACGTTTGTTAATCTTACAGTGGACACTAATTGTTGGTTGCGATTAATCCAATAAGAGAAATTGTATATTATTTAGATTCGTAGAAGGCGATTGGATAAAATACCCAAATATGAAGGAGATGGTTGATACGTAAGTTAGATTGTTCTAAATCTTCATTTGTATACTTATTTATTTTTTATGTGAGATTGTTCTAAATATTCGTTTATATTTTGTTAGAGTTATAAAAAATTTCCGATCACAAAGAGATACACAAGTACCAAAGAGTAAAGCAAACAACATTACATGGATCAGAGTGACGGTATATTTTTACAATTTTGATTACATTAGTGATGCTACTTGATAAAACAAGTTAAACTATATATTCTGATATATATTCGCATTTTTTTTCCATGTGTAGTATCCCCGTCAACATAATGGTATAGATTGTGGTTATTTCATGTTGAGGTTTATGAAAAAAAATATTCTTTTAAATCAAATAGAGATTCCAACCATAGTATGAGTTTCTAACTTATGATTTATTTTAATATATTTAACATATTTCATCTAATTAATTAGTTTCAACTAAATCATACTATGTTATATTATGTAGTACTTTGATGAATACACGTTTTCTACTTATTCCAAAGATCAATTGGACGAAATTAAGGAGGATTGGTGTCAATACATTATTGAGATGAGAATTTTATAAAATATTGTGACACTTTCATTGATGAGAATTTTGAGTATATATAAGTTTGAGTTTTGATGAGATACTATGTCGTCATTAGTGTGGTAAATTATGTTGCAATGTTGTTGTTGTGTGAAAGGTTAGTTAGGATGGTATTAGATTTAAATTCAAACAAAGTTTTGTTTGTATCATGGTATGAATAAGAGAATTTTTAATGGTGGATTATAACAGATTTTTGACTTGTTTTTGTTACATTGATTTGTGTTAAATTATAATAGTTATAAGATTTAAGTGTTATATAGTTTGATTTTGATATATATGCCTTTGTTGATTTTGTTTCAGGTAGGTGCATATGTAGAAGATATATAAATTCATTTAGGATTCTTCATTGTTGTTGTTTGTAGAGAAGATAACAGCTTTAGAAGATAGTAATATGTATATTTAATGTATATTTATTAGATTATAAAGTTGTATATATAAATATGTAAATTTATGTATATATAAATTATTGAATTATTCAAGTTGTATCTCATTTACGTGTATAAATTATTGGATTAAAGATGTATATATAAATATGTATTTGGTGCATACTTATTGGATTGAAGCTGTAAATTTAAGAAATCTGGTGCAAATTTGAACGTCAGCGCTTAAATTTTAAGTGATTATTTATAAAGGGCGCTTAAAATATAAGTTGAATCTATTAAAAAAATCTGTGAACATTAGACAGACTTTAAACAAAAAAGCGCTGCCTATATTGGGAAAAAAAGCGCTTGTGAAATACAAAGTGCTGCCTAAAATGGACTTTAGAAAGCGCTTTTAAATAAAGCGCTGCCTAAAACATAAAGAAAGTGAAAAAAAATACATTACACAACGCTTTTAAAAGCACTGCCTAAAGTGAAAGTGCTTCTATAAACACACTTTAGAAAACACTTCTAATGTAAAAAGTACTGTCTATAGGGACCTTTAGAAAACGCTTATTGAATAAAGTGTTGTCTAAAGACTATATTAAACAGTGCTTTAACATAGACAAAAAGCGCTGTCTAAAGACTATATTAAGCAGTGCTTTAACATAGACAAAAAGCGCTGTCTAAAGGCTATATTAAACAGCGCTTTCACATAGACAAAAAATGTTGTCTATACTTACAACAACGCAGAAATAGATAGCGCTGTCTATGACAAAAAAAAAGTTGTTTATTTCCTTATATGACGTAGTGATATATATATATATATATATATATATATATATATATATATATATATATATATATATATATATATATATATATATATATATATATATATATATATATATATATATATATATATATATATATATATATATTAAATTTTTTTTCAAATTGGAATGAATATCACAAAAGAGAAAATTAACATAATTTTAAATACATCTGAAAATACATTTTTAAACGCACAGAAAATAATTTCGTACTATAAAAAATATAATATGTTCAATATAAGGATCTAAAGAACATTTCCCTTAATTTTGTTGTAGTTATTTTTCATTTTGGACTTAGGCCCAAAACCTATTAATTAAAATGGAATCAATATAATTTTTTTTAAAACACAATCACTTTGACTTAGCATCTGTTTGAAATTACCGTGGAATGAAAAGAAAAAACGCTTCTATCAGAAGTTAGAATTTCAAACTTCTTAAAAATCACGGTGGGATTGTATTGGAAAGTGTAATCATAGTGAAAATAATTATATCCAAACATATATTTAATGATGTGTGTTTTTTAATCAATTATTAAATATTTAGTACACTTTTAACACAATCTAGAACCTAACAATATTTAAAATAATTAAAATACTGTAATCATGCATAAATGTGCATCCAATATATTATCACATGTTTTCATAAAAAAATGCATGTATTAAATATATTCTCAAAAAGGAAAAAAAGTCTCCACCAAAATGTATTTAGACCGATATAAAAATCAATGTATCCAAACATTTGTTTTATTTTTTAAATATATATATATCATTCTCGATTTACTTAATTTTAATAAGAATATATATATATTTTAAATTATTAATTTATAAATATTAATTTATTTATATTAATAAATAAATATTATCGATAACGAACATATTTTAAACTAATATATTACACTCCTTAAAAATATATATGAGTTGAGATGGACTAAAATTTGAATTTTAGCCTACAAGATCATTTAATTAAAGGTGATAAAATTGATAAAAATAAGTCTGATCCGTTAGATATTTCTGTTTTGTCGGTATTTTAGTGTGGGATAGATAAATTATTTAAGTCTTTACTTTTTAATATGACAGTTCTATTTTGTTCGTTTTCTTCGCGGATTTTTATGGACACGAACATTAACATAAAATTTTATATTTTTAGATTTAAAAAGAGAAATGCCTCATTTTCAACTATACTCGTCCTGCTCTATTCTATTTTTTTTGCGAACGTTTATAAGACGGATCTAAATGAGACGGACATACACGTTTATCACCTCTAAATCTAATCCATTCAAATTTTCATTGTCGAACTTTATAAAGACTATAAATAATTTACATATCATTCTCAATTCACTTTATCTAAATAAATCTATAAATAATTTATAAGACTATTAAAAAACATCAGATATTTTCTTTATATTATTATTAATAAACACACGCTAAAAAAAACATATAATAGTGAAATATTTTAACATATGAATATAAAATAATACTAAATAAAAAAAATCAAAAACCAGAATAAATATAATAATTAAGACAAAAACAAAAATAATAATAAAAGCTTGTCCACAAAGAAAGGGTATACATTTTTCCATAAAAAAAATGCATATATAGTCAACATCAAATGTATCTAGACTCATAAATTTTTTTAATTGTTTATTATTATTTCTTTTTAATCTTCTCTATATAATAGATCAACTAATTAAATATTAAATAAATCTAGAAAATGAAAATTTTCTTTTGTAAATATGACCAAGAGAGTATATGTCATCTCTATTCACTTAATCTAAATAAAAATATAAGTAATATTATAAAAGGCTATTAAAACAAATAATTATATATTTAAACACACACTAAAGGAAATATAACATATAATAAAATATTTGAACATATATTTATAATTAATAAAATATAAAATAATTCCGAATCAAGAAATAAGAAAACAAAATCAAACGGCGGATATAATTTTCAGATTTGTTGTGCAAAAAAACAAAAGAAATAAAAGAAATAAAAAAGAATTAAGACAAAAACAAAAATAATAATAAAATCTTGTCCGTAAAGAAAAAGGGTAGAATAAATATAGGGTTTGGGTTTTCATTCACTCATTCTTCACCTTCTTCACTCTTCTCTTCCAGATCCTTCGATTCCACCGATTCAACCAGCCATGGTGAAGGGTCCTGGTCTCTACACTGACATCGGCAAGAAAGCCAGAGGTACTTTTTTCTATCTCTTTCTCTCACATTCATTAATTCTGTTGCTTGAATTTTTCCATTTTTTTTGTGATTTTTTTGGTTGATTGATAAAATTTGCGACGATTCTTGTTTGTTTTGTGTAGATCTGTTGTACAAGGATTATCACAGTGACAAGAAGTTCACTATCAGCACTTACTCACCTACTGGAGTTGTGAGTTGATTTTAATTTTTTATTTTAGTTTGTTTATTGAGTTTTCTATGCTGTTTGTATGAATATAATGATGTTAATGATGTTGGTATAATCAATGTTTTGTTGAAGGATTTGCATGCTTTCTAACTGCATTTTTTTGTTAAGAAAAAATTGGATTATGTTTCTGATGCTTTGGGGTTTTGTTATGAGCTTTTACTTTTTATTTGCATTTTTTTTTGTTTTTTTTTTTTGTTTCTATGTAGCAGTGACACCTCTGAAAAAGTCGTGACTGAGTCTGTGTCTGTGGCGGACACCAGGCACATGTGATTACATTTAATTTTTTTGTTTTTTAAACTATTATTGGTGTCACCGTGTCAGTGTCCAAGCTTTATAGGTTTTTATTATCGATATGCTGAATGGTTTGTAGATTTATGAGTACTTTTATTTGCAAGTGTTTTTTAGTTGAATGATGGGATTGAGTTATCTATCTGTAAGTGTTTTTTAGTTGAATGATGGGTTTGAGTTACCGGCTTCAATTTATTAGAGTAAACGATGATTTTGGTATTGGAATGCGTGGTTGTTATTATGTACACTGAATGTAGTGAAATTGTAAACATCTCCACTGGTCTCTTTTATTAGTCATGTTTAGGTCCTTGAGTATGTTTTTTGGTAGTTAGTTTAGTACTTGATTGTGTTTTTCTTGGATCAATTTTATCTTTGAAGAGAATCTAGAGATGTTTGTAATTTAGATACATTTATGGACTATAATGTTTGTTTGCTCTTTTGTTTTACAAACCTAGTTTAAATTAAAGTTGAGTTATGATTTAACTGTTTTTAGATTTTAGAAATATGTTTTCCTGATTTATTGTTGATTTTTATGAAAACGCATATGGTTGTGTATACTGTTACTATCAGGGTTGTGTGTTGTAATAGTAGCTAGAATGAGAACAATGGTATTGTGCTGGGGTGGATGATTTTTGAGCATGCTGGTACCTGTGTACTCCACACCACAGGCCACAAAGCTATTATAAATTTACTCAAATATAGCTCACCTTGCAGCACAAAATTGCAGTCTTCTTTTTAGGTTTTTTTCTGGGTTTTTTATTTCCTGTTTTCACTGAAGCACAGGAAGCAAGCTGCCTTTATAGTGTTTTGATTTCGTTTTCAAAACACAGTGCCTACCATTTTGGCACTATGTTTTGCACTTGTAAACTAGGTTTTATTTGATTTTGTTGGTTTTGCTAACGCGTCTGTCTTTATGTCCTTTAATCCAAGTCGACTTAGACAACTTGTTGAAAAAAGAAAAATATTTCATTAACATCACTTTCTTTTATCTCTGGTAATTTGCATTGCTGTCCTTTCTTATTTGGTTATTGATGTCCATGTCCCTACCGATACATCAGTGTCCTTTTCATTGAATATTTACGTGTTTAGTTTTGCTTTATTGACATTTATTATTTGTAGTTTAGCATTGTTTACACATTAAATTGATAAATGCTCCCTAAATTTAGACTTTTGGAGTTTGAACTCTGTTTATTGTCCATTTGTTGATGGTATTAAATTTTAAATATATTTTGCATCCTATACTCATTGCAATATGCCAAAATGAAGGCCTAGGTTGAAATTGATGGGTGCTTATTTAATATATCAGTTTAGCAATTTATGTCCTATACTCACTTTTTATCTTGTGGTACAGGCTATAACATCCTCAGGAACAAAGAAAGGTGAACTGTTTTTGGGTGATGTTAATACCCAGTTGAAGAACAAGAACATCACTACTGATATCAAAGTAGACACAAGTTCTAATGTGAGTTTAACATTCCTGTTTCAGTATTTATCATTCTATGCTATTGGCAATAATGTCATATATACTTCTTTCTGATTTGCATTCCTCATACAGAATTGTAAAACTGATTATTGTGATTGTTTCTTGATTGGTACCATCCTGGATGGTGTCTCCAAAAGATTCTGTTTGTTGGTTTAGTCATATTTTAGGATATCATGTAAAATTATTACCTGCAACGCTGCGTTGTTTTACGGAGATCATATACATAATCATATTTTTCCCAAGATCTAGTCATAATTAGCTATCCAGTCTATACTTTCTTTTTATATCGCCTGAAAAACTAATACATCATCCTATGCTTGCTAGGTAAAATGAAGTACTGCTTAACGTATCAATTATCTGGTTACTAAGTCCAGATCAATTGTTTTTAATAGGAAATTTCATAACAAATATTTACTATTTAGATATTTTTTTTAACTCATACACATACTTCATCTATGCATGTTAAAATATAGCCAAATATGAATTAAATTCGATTCTTTTGTTTGGAACTGTTTTTCTTTACATGTAAAACCAGACCAAAATTCTTGTACTATTGCCAGTTAGTAGTTATAACTTAAATTACTCTGAACTATTTATGATCTCCATATGCTTATGATCAAATCACTTAAGTCTGATAAATCCTTGCACAATCCAGCTTTTCACAACCATCACTGTCAACGAACCTGCTCCTGGTGTGAAGGCTATTTTTAGCTTCAAAGTTCCCGAGCAAACGTCTGGAAAGGTAACCCATTATAATTAACATCTTTCCAAAATCAAAGAAAATATTTATTTGTCTATAGTTAAACTTACATAGTTTGAGAAAGTGTTGTAATTAGAAGTGTCGGATAGAAGAGCTCATGGTAGTAAATTGCTTGTTCTGTTTCATGAAACAGGTGGAACTACAATACCTGCATGAATATGCTGGAATTAGCAGCAGTGTTGGGTTGAAAGCAAACCCAATTGTCAACTTTTCTAGCGTTATTGGAACTAATGCACTTGCTTTTGGTGCTGATCTTTCTTTTGATACCAAACTCGGGGAGCTAACCAAATCTAATGCTGCTGTGAACTTCGTCAAGGATGACTTGATCGGGTCATTGACTCTGTGAGTAACTTTTGCTCCTTTGTGCTTTAGTGTTTCCAATTAACTATCATTTATTTCGCCCTATAACATGAATGTTAGTCATTAAATGTGGTAGTTAGAGTGCTCAAATTAATCTATTGACACATTTACATTGTATTGTTCTGTGATGTGCTAGTTAGAACAGTGTTTTCAAATAGATGCTATAGCACCGTAGCATAGTCGAATTTGAGCAAACCACTTTTCCGTGATGAGCAACAATGCACATTTAATTTTAGTGTTTTTTTTTCTTGTAATTGTTTGTGTTGTTAGATAGTTTGGGTTTGTAAACATTTTGATGTGATTATCTCTTGTGTGCAGAAATGAAAAGGGTGATGTGCTATCTGCTTCATACTATCATGCCATTAACCCACTGTCCAACACTGCTGTTGGTGTTGACATCAGTCACAGATTCTCAACTAAAGAGAACACCTTCACACTCGGCACCCAGCATGCATTGGATCCATTGACCACAGTGAAGGGTCGCGTCACCAACTCAGGCAAGGCAAGTGCTCTTATTCAGCATGAATGGCGTCCCAAATCACTCATCACCATTTCAAGTGAGGTAGACACCAAGGCCATTGAAAAGAGTGCTAAGATTGGATTGAGTTTGGCTCTCAAACCTTGATTTAGTTTTGATCCTTCCTGGCAAGAAACTGAGGTGTAGGCAGGCTTTAGGAAGCATATAGTTTGTCAGATTGATGTTGGTTCTCTTCTTGGGTAAGAAGTGTTCAAGGTGTTTTCTTTGCAGTTGGGCAATTCAACCTTGAAGAAATAAATAGGTTTTTTATGAACCAAATGTTACTCTTAAATGCCCCCACAGGCAAAACATGCCTCTTTTATTGAATTGTGAATTGGTACTCTTTGAGTTTTGACAGCAAAATTTTAAAATTTCTGGTATCATGGTAAATCTTTTGCAGCATTTCTTATATATCTTGTGGTATGATGATCGTTTATTTCCTACCATTCCCGTGTCTTCATTAGGACTTGAATGCTATGGCCCGATGTGTAGTCTTTCTCATTCCCAAGAGGCATGCAATTTATGCGTTTAAACAGTTTTTGAAAATGGTGGCATGTGAACAAACCTAATGCTGCACCATAACATGTTCAACCTAAATGTGGTGCTTAGTTTATAACTTAAGTCAAACTCAAATTGCTTTTCCACGCAATTTTAGCCATATGATTTACAGAAATTAAAGATTATAGCTTTAGACTTAACCAGGAGTTGGGCATTCAACTCACTTAGATACAAACAACCCAATAGTTGAAACTTGGTTACAATATTTGTCTTGAATCTGACATCTTTTGGAGAATAGCAACTAAGTACATCTCAAGACAAAAGATGTTGGTAATAAGGTCCTCACGTGATGAATATTACACCTTTCGATGTTTTTTGTTTTTGTTGAAATGCACTGAATGTTTTTTGTCTATATACTAAAGTTTTTTTTTGGGAAAAATATTGAATTAATATTTACTACTTTTTATTTTACTTTTATATTTGGCATCTTTTGATGTTTTTTTGTTTTGTTTTTGTTTTTAATGCACGGAATTAGCATCCTATAACTTTTTGTACAAAATAAATGGACCATCAAACACAACAACTAGAATATTTTCTATTCTTTTATAATATATTAATTCTGAACCACAAATAAATTTATTAACCAATCATTTCTTTTATGTTCCATCTATTAAAATATGATGCCACATTTTTCAAAACTCCTCAATGTAAATCTTCGAAACTTCTCAATATAAATCTTAATTTCAAAACTTCTCAATATAAATCTTCAAAACTTCTCAATATAAATCTTTTAATATTCAGCGTAATATGTAATGTTTCATTGATAATTATTATTTTTAAATACAATCATTTATATTCTACAATTTATATCTTTATTTTTTTTCTTCATATACTAATCTTTGCTTCTTTTTTTATCTATATATATATTTTTAGAACCTAAAATGCATTATATAATTACTCTAAAAATTATAAATAAAATTACTTTTTTACAATTTTATTTAAAATCGTAGTAAAAATAATAATTACATTACATTAAAAATGGTTAAATGATACTTTTAAATTTAACTTATAACTTTTAAATAAACAAAAAAATTTCTAAAATATACTTCAATTATAATTTAGTTACAAATTAAAATATTAAACTTCGAATATTAAATTAAACAATCATTTCTCAACCAACTTACATGATAAAACAATTCAATTGAATTAAATCAATATATTAAAAATTAATAGAATAACAAAAAACAAATACACAAAAATAATATTTTTGAATTTATTTTAATACCTAATTAATCATCCAATGTCTGAAATGTTTAAATATGGAATATATTCAATTCATGTAATGATAAAAAAATATTCTTAAAAATATTGGATAAGTGAAAAATGAACAATACAAAACTACATAAATTTTATACATTTATTTCTCATTTTTATCTTAATTTTAATTTCTTATCTTTTATTTTCAAAATTCAAATATATATTTTTTCACTTGAAATTGTATTTTTCTAATACTCTCTTCATCTTATTGTAACTAAAAAAATTTGTATATAGACAACCAAAATCTATCTAATTTAATATTATTTTAAATAACTCATCTCAATTCGAAGTCTTAATTTAATTATTATATAACTTTTAAAACACTGGCTTTGGTCATGGAAAGCTATTTTTCACTTATGAAAATGAATTGCTTAAAAACTGCCTAATTATAGCAATAATTATTTAATAACAAAAGTCTCAAACTTGCAAGTTGCAACAATCAATATATGTCTTGTTTATATTTATAAAAGTTGTTCCCATGAAAAATATCTTCCATTTACAAACATGTTTTTCAGATCATATTTCATCTAATGGAAAACTCAATAATTGTAATGAACTGAATTCAGACTATTCAGTTACCAATTACAATGCACATATAATCCATTTTGAACAAGCAATGAATCCAACACTTAAAATAACTTGAGGAATATAACTAAAAATTAAATCCATAAATTTAAAGTCCTTAAAAGTACTATAACATTTGATTACATTAATAAGTATATACTGAAGAGTAAGTAAATATCTATGAGCAATAATAATAACATGCACTCATTTTCTTTACAAAGAATACATTCTGAAAGGGTGGAAAATGTATAACAAATTCACAACCAATTGTCAAAATACAACACTTGTAAATCAAATGAATAGAGAATCAAATTATCAAGTGAAAATTACGATTCCTATCCATTAGGTTTAGGCGACTTGATATAATGATGACACGGAGAACTGCTTTGACCATTTAGACTCGACAATATCTTCATAGGTTGACCTTTTTTCAATAAAGATGTTAACGGTGATTGCTATCTTTTTCCGGCATCGACATCGTACAATCTACTCCCACGACTTGAAAGCGATATGACGTGATAGTCATGTCTTTGAGGTTTTGCAGAGGCTTTAGAGTTTGAACAACTTCACTCATAGGTTGAAGTTTTGGATCACGGCTAAGGTATTGAGAGGCTATTGGTGTATGTTTAATTTTGCAGATCGTTAGATAATTACTCTATTAATTTCACTATCGAGGATCTTTGTCTCAAATTCCATCTCACGTTGCCACATGTAAAATTACTATTTATTCCTTTTCTTTTACTCGAATTGTCAAATGTCCTTGTATTATTGGTGTATATTTCTTTTCGCGTATCGTTAAATGATTGTTCTATTAATTTCACTATCTAGAATCTTTGTCTCAAATTTCATATCACGTCGCCGCATTTAAAACTGTTATTTATTCTTTTTCTTTTACTCAGATTGCCAAATGTTCTAGCACTATTGGCATATGTTTCATTTCGCGGATCATTAAATAATCTCTCTATTAATTTCACTATCAAGGATATTTGTCACAAGTTTCATCTCACAATGCCACATGTAAAACAACTATTTATTCCCTTTCTTTTACTCGAATTGCAAAATATCCTTGTACTATTGGCGTATATTTCTTTTCGCGGATCGTTAGATAATTATTCTATTAATTTCACTACCTAGAATCCTTTTCCCAAATTCCATATCACGTCGTTGCATTTAAAGCTGCTATTTATTCCTTTTCTTTTATTTAGATTGTCAAATGGCCTTGTACTATTGGGGTATGTTTTTTCCGCGGATCTTTAGATAATTTCTCTATTAATTTTACTATCAAGGATATTTGTCCCAAATTCCATCTCACGACGTCAAATGTAATGCTACTATTTATTCCTTTTCTATTACTCGAATTGCCAAATGTCCTTATACTATTTGCGTATGTTTCTTTTCACAAATTGTTAGATAAATCCTCTATTAATTTTACTATCAAGGATCTTTGTTCCAAACTCCATCTCTCGTCACCACATGTAGAGCTACTATTTATTCATTTTCTTTTACCATAATTGCCAAATGTCCTTATACTATTGGTGTATGTTTCTTTTCACGGATCATTTGATAAATGCTCTATTAATTTTACTATCAAAGATCTTTGTCCCAAACTCCATCTCTCGTCACCACATGTAGAGGTACTATTTATTCCTTTTCTTTTACCATGATTGCCAAATGTCCTTGTACTATTGGCGTATGTTTATTTTCGCGGATCATTAGATAATTGTTCTATTAATTTTACTATAGATGATCATTGTCCCAAATTCCATCTTTCGTCACCACATGTAGACCTACTATTTATTCCTTTTCTTTTACCATGATTGTCAAATGTCCTTATACTATTGACATATATCTTTTCACAAATCGTTAGATAAATGCTCTATTAATTTTACTATCAAGGATCTTTGTCCCAAACTCCATCTCTCGTCGCCACATGTAGAATTACTATTTATTCCTTTTCTTTTACTCGGATTGCCAAATGTCCTTATACTATTGACGTATATTTCTTTTTGCGGATCGTTACATAATTATTCAATTAATTTCACTATCTAGAATCTTTTTCCCAAATTCCATATCATGTCGCCGCATTTAAGGCTGCTATTTATTCTATTTCTTTTATTCGGATTGCCAAATATCCTTGTACTATTGGCATATGTTTCTTTTCTCAGATCATAGATAATTTCTTTATTAATTTCACTATCGAGGATATTTGTCCCAAATTCTATCTCACGACGCCACATATAAATCTCCTATTTATACCTTTTCTTTTACTCGGATTACCAAATATCCTTGTACTACTGGCTTATATTTCTTTTCGCAGATCGTTAGATAATTGTTCTATTAATTTCACTATCTAAAATCTTTGTCCCAAATTCCATATCATGTCGCCGCATTTAAAGCTTCTATTTATTCCTTTTCTTTTACTCGGATTGCCAAATGTCCTTACACTATTGGTGCATGTTTCTTTTCATGGATCTTTAGATAATTGCTCTTTTAATTTCACTATCGAGGATATTTGTCCAAAATCCCATCTCACGCCACCACATGTAAAACTACTATTTATTCCTTTTCTTTTACTTAGCTTTCCTAATGTTCTTGTACTATTGGCGTATGTTTCTTTTCGCGGATCGTTAGATAATTGCTCTATTAATTTCACTATCGATGATCATTGTCCAAAACTCCATCTCTCGTCACCACATGTAAACCTGCTATTTATTCATTTTCTTCTACTC